TTGAGTTTCCAATGTCTTTGGAATTGATTTTTGTTTTTTGTATGCTACCTGTTGATTAATTTAATTTTTTTCCTTGTTGATCCAGTAGTTCATGCTCAATTTAATGAAAAAAAATTTCCACAGCTTTTCAAGCCACCTTTGAACTAAATAATTACATATATATATAAAATCACTATGTTTTATGCTCTCTATTCTATTACATTTGTTTATTTGTATTATCTGTGTCAATAGAATAGTATTTTATAAAAAGAATAATTAGAATTTTAAATTTATCTAACTAGAGAAATAACAAAAATTTATAATATGAAGTAGGTTTTAGGCAATTGTTTATGAAAAGACTTATAGTTATAAACATGTTATTAAGCAATCCTGATAAAATTGACCCTTGCAGGCATTGCTGTTAACCAAGTATTTGGGAAAATTATATCTCCAAAGCTGTAGTATTATTTAGCATTATAACATTCCTTCTTTGGTTAAATATCTTTATAAAGTCTGAAAAATAGACAAGTGTGTGGTAAAAGGTTTCATCATATATATCCTTCTCTGTAACTATCCTTGATTATTTGACAAGTACAGAAGATTAAGTATCCCCCAAAATGAAGATGGTTGTATAAAGTAGGGATATGTGAAAGATAAGTGAAATGACATTGTCAGAAATAATGAGGGAGGAGGGAAGAAGTGGAGGAAATGGAAATGAAAAAAGGAATCGAGATGTGTTATGTACATGTACCAAATTCACATGAAATGTAAACATTATGTACTATAAATGTACCAACAAAAATTAAATAAACTACAAAGCCACTGTGATAAAAACAGCATGGTACTGGCAAAGAAACAGACCTGAGGATCAGTGGAACAGACTAGAAGACACAAAAACAGCTCCAGATGTACTCAGTTACCTCATCTTTGACAAAGGAGCTGACCATCTCCACTGGAGGAAAGACACCCTCTTTAATAAATGGTGTTGTAAAAACTGGATCTCAACCTGCCAAAGATTAAAACTAGACCCTTATCGTTCATCATGCACTAAATTAAAATCCAAGTGGATTAAAGATCTAAATATTAAAACAGAAACACTAAACTTACTGGAAGATAAATTAGGAAGAACTCTTTAAGACATTGGCATAGGAAAAGACTTTATGAACAAGTCCTCAGTAGCATGGGAACTAGCATGGGGACAAAGGACTCTTATCTAGAATATATAAAGAACTCAAAACAGTCAGCCCCCCACAAATACAAAGACCTGATTAAAAAATGGGCATCTGAAATGAGCAGACATTTCTCAGTCAAAGAAGTAAGAGCAGCAAGTAAATATATGAAAAAATGTCCCACATCACTGGCCATTAGAGAGATGCAGAAGAAAACAACACTGAGATTCCACCTCACCCCACAAAGAATGGCTTCTGTCAAGAAATCAACCAATAACAAATGTTGGTGAGGTTGTGGGGCGAAAGGAACCCTTCTCCATTGTTGGTGGGATTGCAGACTGGTGCAACCACTATGGAAATCAATATGGATATACCTCAGAGAACTGGTACTAGAGGTTCCATTTGACCCAGCCATCCCTCTGCTGGGTATCTTTCCAAAAGAATTAAAAGAATCATATCGCAGAGATATATGCACACCTATGTTTATAGTGGCACAGTTTGTGTTAGCTAAAACTTGGAAACAGCCCATTTGCCCATCAGTTGGAAACTGGATAAAGAAGATGTGATTTTTCTATAAAATGGAATACTACTCAGTCACAGAGAATGAGAAATTAGATTAATTCATAGGAAAATGGATACATATTGAGGATATACTCCTAAGTGAAATAAATAAGTCACACATGTGTAAATACCAAATAGTTTCTCTGGTGTGAACAAACTATAATGGTACATAAGATGCTAATGATATAATTGACCATGTGAAATAGGAAGAAAAGGGCTAAAAGTGTAGGGAAAGTGGGAAGGGTAGGGGAAAGGTAATAAAGTAAAAGAAAAAAGTATGAGAAAATGAAAAAATGGAAATAAAATGTTTTCAAATGGGGAGGGAAGTAGGGGGTGAAGAACAGGGATAGGGGAAAAAATGAGAACCAAGACCTGTCATGTAAGGGTACAAGATCCCAATAATGAATAAAACAGTACTGTATACCTAAAATGTATCAGTAAACTCAATAAAAAATTAAATAAATAAATGACAGTTGTAACAGTTCAGAAATATGGAAAATATTTTGAAATAAATAGGAATACATGTTATGTTAAACCAAATGATAAAAAATTATAGATACAGTATGATTATAAATTGCTAAATATACACCATGGCTGTTGTGGAAAGATTGCAAAGAAGTCATTTAAAATGTTAAAATTGATAAGGTTAAGGTTGAGAAAATGTGCTTGTGATTATTTACCAAACGTGTTTTAAATTTTCATGTCGTTCCACAAATATGGCATAAAATAACATAAAATAACATAAAAATAACATATATAACATAAAATAACAAGGGACAGAATGGTAAAGTACATAAGGAAAGCAATGGAAGTCTCTAATTACTCCCTTTGCTCCTTAATCCTTTCTGAAGCTACAGATTTGGCCACTAGGGAGATTTGTCTCAGAAGAAATGGGATCCATCGGTGCTCTTCAGTTTGAAAGCATTAAAAATTCAGAATTCAGAACCAAATGAATAGCACGGCTCAGTGTGGGGTCCATGTCACAGATTCAAGCGGAGAAGGTACAAAATCTTGGGTCTATGCGTGGAAGCATACAATTCTGGCTGTAGGCACACACTCTTCTTGCCTAAAAACTTCACAAGAAAATCTTTCTACCCAATTGGATTTAATTTTCATCTGCTGGTTTGGGTCTAAAACTCTGCTTCTGTAACTTTGCATTCTGCTTTCATTGCTCTTCTCTTTGCTCCTCTCTGTTCTACTCAGGCTCTCAGTTCTGGTCATTTCTCCTGCTCAACTAAGGGAAGTGGGAGAACCGTGGAAAGGAGGAGCCAAGAGCAGCCCCTATTAGTAAGCCAGCATATCCACGGGAAATCTTTTTTTAATGGGGGGTTACATTTCCATTCTCTCACCAAAGAGTAAGGGAAATCCGCAAATATTAGGATATTTGATATTCTGTGTGTGGTGATAGCTCAAAAGTTTGATATCTTTTGTGTGGTGATAGCTCAAAAAGTTTATGAAAAGCTAGTATGAGGTATTTTAGAATTTATAATTGAAAGAAAATATATTAGTCATATGTATTTGAGAATTTACAATTAAAAGAAAATATTTAGTTTACCCTCCTTAGAGGAGAATGCTTCCCTCTTCTGCTTCTCTATAAGTTGATCCTGTAAGTTTTACTTGAAATTTTCTATGGTAGAAATTCACTGCTTTCTCAAATGACCATCTTTATGATGAGGCACAACCTGGTTTTAGACTTTTTTTTCATTATATGATGGCAAATCCTTTCTGAGAAATCCATGTTCATGGATGTAGAGTATTGAATATTGAGTGTAAGAGGCTGGTGAGGAGGACTTTGGAAGTTCATCTAAGATAATTTGTGATATTTATATCTCACTTTACTTGGGGCAAGCATATGCCAAACACTTGTCACTTAGCAATGTCAATTTTTTGACTGATAGAAACAGAAATGTTCAGACTGAAGAGTAGTCTACCTAATGATCTTTTAACTCTGCCAGAGTATTTATATAGTGCAGGATTGAGCTTCTGAAGAAAATTGCATTTTTCTGACCTAGGTGTCTTTTTATGCCTTTAAAATCATATGGATCCCATAAATAGATCTTAAATAAATTTTGAAATTCTATATTTTCTTTATATTTCATTTCAATTCTGTCTTCACTACTTTTGAAAATTTTAAACATTATATTATAACACTTAACTAAATAACTTTACTACATGTTTAATACTAAGTGCCAAGCTTTGATTATATTATTTTGTCTTCATAACCTGTCATAACCCTCACAAAGACCTTATAGACAAACTGTTTTCATTTTTCTTTGTAAACAGATGAAGCTCGGAAAGGTTCATTTGTTCATGGTTCCAGAAGTAGTACATAGCAGAGTCGGGTCAGGCTTCAAAATCAGTTCTATATCCCTCCAGACTAAGTTCTTCAAGGGATTGAACTGTATTTTATTGATCTTGATGTTTCTAACAGGCAGATGGGAAGTATATGTGAATTGTATTGATTCCTGTGGCCTAAATCAATGTCAAATAGACTTTGGGCAAGGCAGGGGTCCTTTGACTTCTGCTTTATTTCTTCTGGGATGGCCATCAGTTCTAACACCCGGAGCATGAGGTCTGCGTGGGGCCTGATTATGGGACTGAAGACAGCAATGTCGTGAAGAGCCCCAGCTTCTTTCACCTCAGCTGTTGCATTGTATTCCACTTACTGAGATTTTTATCCATGGCATGATCCATTATCTTTGCAAAAATTGAAATAATACAGGAAACATTTCCAGAGCAGCAATACAGTAGTATAAATAGATTTATTCATTTTTTATTGAGCATGTATTGATCACAGTGAAAGAAAATTAGTCATAACTGTTGGCAACATAGGGCTTACTAAAATAAAATAAAATGCAAACATACAAAAGGAGAAATCAGGGTTTCAGAAAATATAATTATGCTTTTTCTTAGGATCATGTGGTACTGATGTTTATTAATAGAATTCATGGGATTCACAACTTTTCATGAGGAAATATGCCAGTTTGTTTGATAATAAACCAGATTTAAAATATGTACATAAAATTAGCAATAAGAGCTTATTAATAAAGTACAATTTTCTAATAACAAATTATTGTGTTTCTTCATTTAGCACATGAAGAAACTAGGGTCAACTTTCACACAATTCTTAATGTATCTCAAAGCCAGATTCACGACAGGCCCCTTTCCTTCATTTTCCTTTGTTGCATAGAGCCACTGATTGAAATAAAAGTCACTTTGTCAGGAAGATATTCTCCTTTTCTTTGCTCTTATGTAGTGAATATTGCTCTGCTTTTCAGGACCACCTGACACATGAAGACTGGAAACTCCACCCTTGTGACAGAATTTGTCCTGCTAGGAATTTCTAATACAGAAGGGCTGGAGACCATGCTGTTTGTTCTATTCCTGACTTTCTACATTTTCACCTTGCTGGGCAATCTCATCATCTTCCTCACCATTCTGGCTTCTTCCAACCTCCACACCCCTATGTATTTCTTCCTGGGAAACCTGTCCATATTTGACATATTTTTCCCTTCTGTGAATTCCCCCAAGATGATGGTCTTCTTAGTGGGGCAAAGCCACACCATCTCTTACCAGGGCTGTGTTTCTCAGGTCTTTTTCTACCACTTCCTGGGCTGCACTGAGTGTTTCCTTTATACTGTGATGGCCTATGACCGCTTTGTGGCCATCTGTCACCCTATGCGATACACGGTCATCATGAGCCACAGGGTGTGTACCGGTCTCACTGTGGGCACTTGGGTTGGAGGCTGTCTGCATGCATCTGTCCTCACATTCTTAATCTTCAGGTTGCCCTACTGTGGCCCCAATGAGGTGGACAGTTTTTTCTGTGATATCCCTGTGGTGCTTCCCCTAGCCTGTGCAGACACCTCTCTAGCACACATAGTTTGTTTCACCAATGTGGGTGTTGTAGCTCTCATATGCTTTCTCCTTATCCTTACTTCTTATGCCCACATTGTTGTCTCTATATTGAAAATCCGCTCCTCAGAAGGCAGGCGCAGAGCCTTCTCCACCTGCAGCGCCCACCTGACCTCCATCTTCTTTTACTATGGGCCTGTGATTCTCGTTTATCTTAGGCTAGCTTCCAGCCCTTGGCTAGAAGCAGTAGTTCTGGTGTTAAACAATGTTGTCACTCCTTGCCTGAATCCTTTGATTTATTCCTTGAGAAACAAAGATGTGAAACTGGCTCTGAGGAAGCTATTAGTTCAAATGGCCCACTCTCCTGGGGGATAAGCAATGGGAACAGTCTCTCAAATTACTTGGAGAGGTACTTCAAATCCATTCCTGCAGGAGTGGCTGTCAAATGCTGAGCTATGAAAAATTAATATATCTTATTTTTCGGAAGTTACAGAAATTATACCATAAAGAATTTTGGGCTGGCAACACTCAATTACACCTTAGAGGAAGTTGTTTCATATTAATCCAGCACTTTCTAATTTTTAAAAATTTCTAAAACGAACTTCTTCCACTGCACACAGTGTGTGCTCCTTGCAGTTCTCGGTAGATAATCCATATGATAATGGATGAGGTTTACTATATGATAATTATCATTTACTGTATGATAATGTATGAAATTTTAAAGTAGGAGTGTAGCTTAGTAAATATATATTTTTTTGTTGACTGAAATAAAAATGACTAAGTTGAGAACCATGAAGTATTCATCTTGGTAACAGCTGAATCAAGGAGCTATGAAGATGTGAACCAGTGTCTCAGGAGATGCCTGTTTTTATGGCTGAAAGTGAAAGGAGGGGGCTAATTACATAAGATGCTTGCCAAAAATTGTGAATGGTGTGCCAGAGTTTAAATTGCCTTGTAATAATCAGGTAGATCATTCCAGGGAAGTAAATGAGATTGCTAACAGTCCTTGTAAGACTGCTTAGAGCTCAGAAGCCAATACTAAGGAGAGAAGCGTTGGTGGGATGAAAATGTTTTACTCAAGTGCTGACTGCTGAGGTTATGGATGGTGCTATCACCTCCCATAGAAGCCACCTTTGAGATCTCATGTACCTGAAAATGAATTTTACGGGGAAAAAAAGTAGACCATGGGCAGGAAGGCTATAAGCTGATTGAGCTCTTTGTCATCCAGGGCCTATTTTAAATTCTTCTGCCAGAATATTCTTCAGATAACTTTTATATCCTCACAATCTCTACATTTTTTTAAATAAACATTTATTTCCCTGCAAGTTAAACATTATTCCTCTTGAAAGAAAAAAACCTTTTCATTTGTTCACACTTTGATGCTATCTGAAGCCAATCTCATGTTCCAGGCTTCTGAAAAAATAAAGAAAGGTGACTGATAAGGGTCTTGGGAACAGTGGGTATCTAGTTCATTGTCCTGCAATAGTTTATGCAGCAAAAGTTTTTTAGGCATTGTAATGTGAGTTTAAAAAAATGTTTAACAAAGATCAAAGGGAAATGTTTCTGGGGCAAATTGCTGATGCAGCTTATCTAAAATAAGGTGCCATAAGACATAACGTGCTGGTCATGATTGCAGTTGAGGATGGTTTTATACACTGTACAAAGGCTAATGATTTCTTTCCAGAGGTTACTGTTCACCCCAGCACACTAGGTCAGCACTGTCTGGGCTTGGATAATAGCTCAGTCAGGAATCCAGCTGTGAGTGCCTGGGATTTGGTTTAACAAGACCTCCCTAACTGCTATTCTACTTTAGCTTTCTATTCTGACAACACTAAGCTTATAATTTCTTTGAATTTAAACTTATTGTCCCCTTAGTGAAGGATGAATTTTGGATTTGATTTCCTTTGGCTATCCTAAAATTCAGTTTTGGATTTCATTCATCATGTGTTATGGATGAAGATGGCCATTAATTTATTAGGAGAAAATGTGAACATGGATTTTGTAAATTTTTAGAGGAAAGACTTTTATGAAAAATTTTTACTTTTTCTAGGTTCCATCCACCTTTCAAAAATGTAGTATATTTCTAATTAAAGATAAGATGTAGCAATATTTATATTTATTTTTGGAATTTTTTTCACATTTAATCAAATTAATTTCATGAGAACCAATCTAATTAGACTCATCCATTTAAACACCCAGAATAAGAACTGATATTGAAAATCTGTTTATTATATGACAGTGATCAAGATACTCTACCTGTATTGACTAAGTTAATTGTAGAATCCTGCAAGGCAAATACTATTATATATTCCTTTCACTATCAAAGTAACTTAGAAAAATGTCCGCACTCAAGATATCTGAACTAGTAACCAAACTAGTAACCTTACCTGTGGCATCCTAGTAATAAGAACTATAGTACCATAAATTCTAGTGGTAGCTGTCTCTATATCTTCCTTTATATGCATTGTTTATTGTTATAACTAATTTTCATACATTAACAAATTGAGTCTGAATTGCATCTCTGTTAGCTGAATGTGATTACTACTCTTAATTATATATGAGAGAGCTGAGGCACAGGCAGGTTAAGTAACTGCGTAAAGACAATAGTGACAATATTGGGAATAAGTAGAACAGCAGTCTGGATAACAGCCACAGAAGTGGGCAAGAATAGGAAAATAATAACTTTAGCTTCTTTCTACCCCATGACAATTCCATGTATTCATTCAGTCATTGACTGCAGGACTCACTTAAAATACTGTATTTAACCAGTTTCCAATGTGTTTGCCAAATGAGGCACATGAAGACAAAAGTGCGACAACTATAGAGAGCTGTTCATGGCATATGTGAAGCACATATATGCATTCATGTACCACTACAGCTGCTAACAACACCATAAAGTCTTTGGACAACCTGATCTTTCTCACATTTGAATGTTGCTGCATCCCTTGCATTAAGTATTGAATTAGAAGCCTATTATAGTGCTGCAATTTATTCACAAACTTGTCAGCTTAGAACAGAATGACTTATTGCCTTAGAGTATGTGATATGGTCAGAGATATGGGGCAGCTTAGCTGGGTGGTCCTAAGTTGGGACCTCTCATGCATTGCTGTCACTCTTGCCCCAGGGAGACAGTCACCTGATGCAGGGTTTCCTGGCAAGGTGGCTCAGGGCAGTGCTGTTAGCAGGAGGCCTCAGTTTCTCACTCACTGCAGGGGCCTTTTAGGAACCTGTGTGTCCTCACATCACAGCGGCTGCTGACCTCAGAGTGAATGATTCACTTGAGAGTTTAAGCAGGATTCTGCCAAACCTTCCATTAGAAAGTCTGCAGCATTATGTACCACTACTTCTGCTTTAATTTTTTTTTTTTTTTTTTTTTTTTTTTTTTTTGCAATTAGGAGTCAAAGTCCAGTGCATATTTAGCAGGAGAAAGCTAATGCTCTTTCCTTTGAAATTTATCAAGATGTTTTCAACTGCTACAGATACAATTCCACTTTATTTAAAATTACTTTATTTAAAATTACTCTGAATAGAACATTTCTTTCTGTTGTGGGTTGTTTTAGATGCTAAAAACATAATCACAACTACTTGTATTTTCCCATGATTTTCTTTGGAATTTTTCTATACTCCTTTCTGCCCCTGTAAGAATCACACATCTTTTAGGTGTTTGACCTCTATCATTTTCCTAGTACCTTCTCTGCACTTCACACTCTGTGATAATCCCTTTCTATCAGCTTACAGTTTTTAATTGATTAATATAATTACTACATCATTATGAAATAGAAATTTTGAAACTTCTCTCTCATCACTGTGGAATTTTGCATAATTCAAACTTTATTATTCAACATTTTAAACACAGATAGTTCTAGAACCTAGTTAAGTCAGAATGCCAGCCACTAATGTGACATTTATTGGCTGGGGATTAAACTCAGCACATTGCTCTGGCTAGGTAGTTGCAGCACTACTGAGCTAAATCTCAGGCTTTACATTTCATATTTTTAAAATTCATCAACACATTAATCTTTGCCTTTATATGTTGTTCTAACAAATTGATGAGTTATTTTGGTTCTCATTTTCTTTGCTTTTTTATTTGAGAATTTATGAAATCTGTATATATGAGTAGTATGAAAAGTATTAAGGTCCATCCGTCATTCTCCTCTCTCATCTCTGCCTTCTGCAAACTTCATTTTCTGTCACTACAGCTTGTTTGGTTGGAAAATTGTTAAGACAAATTTTGTTATGTTATCAATATATCTTTGTACCTATTTTCTACTGATAATGAATATTAATTTTTAAGTTAATTTTATCATAACTATACTTAAATAAATGGATAATAAATCATTAATATCATTCAGTATCTGGTACATATTACAAATTCTCCAACTGCCTCAAAGACGATGTTTGTTTTTCTCAAATCACAAACATTCCACACATCACTGCACTGTTTTATTATACCAAAGTATATATTGTATTATAGAAAATATGCATTGTATATATGTGTGGGGGTATGTTTTTACACATATGTGTGCACTATTAAATGAGAAACATGGTCATGAATATGGTAGGATTTTGCACATTTGGCATATTGTTAGTTTCTCTGCCAACCTTATGATTTCTCTAAATTACATGCTTGATTTAATTCATAGTCATTTGTTTGGGAAGAATATTACATATGTATTGGTGTTAAATTCTATCATGCTTATTAAAAATATAATAAAAATAAGTATGGGATATAATAAAATAGAAACAGAAAAATATGAAAAAAAATTTACTGGCAGTTTACTCTTCATAAGACACAGTGC